ATTCTGAGAAGACATGCCCATACAAACTCAAAGGTCAATATCTTTTTTTCGTCTCTATTATGGGCGTGATAAGCATTGGTTTTGTACCTTATGTCTTGTTACTTAACTGTCATGAGTGTTATGTTTTTTCAGTACATCTCAATTGTAATTGTCCTTATTATCTTACATTTTTCTAGTCTTCTAGTCTTCCATTGCAAGTGCAACATGACACGAGAATTTGCGGAAAATATTTAACTCGTTGAGTACCGTCATTATAGACACAATTAAAGAACAATAGGTTGCGCTCACTGGGGACCGCTTGGTTTATGACAGTTTAATTATTACTCATGTTCCAAGTTCCTGGTGGTTAGGGTTCCAGATACAGAAATGTTTCACGGTGTTATTGTTATTGAATTCTTAATTTACAATACCCAAAGTGTTTCAATGGTAAAACAATAAGAAAATTAATATAAAATTTCTAATTATGTAAGTAAAATGTTACCCTACACAGTATTACACTTATTTTGCAAACTCTTACTAATTTACGTTAAATTTAAAATCAATCGAGCGTGGACAAAAGAAAAAGTAACCTTAATCCAACGAAATAAGCTCTAAAATCTAATCGATTGATTGTAAAAGGTAGTTTAGTATTTAAAAATTGGGAATATAATTATGTGTTAGGATCGTTAAATGCTTCTATGTGTTGTATTGTTCGTATAATTAATTGGTGTAACGCGTTTTGTGGTTATGTTTGGTAAATGAGTCTCAATAATTACGTGCGATTTATATTACTTTGTTTAATCAACAAATACTAAGTGATAATGTATGACGTAAGTTGTATGGCAATGTTCATTGGTTGTTTTATCGCATTAAAGCAATATTAAGGCTTTTTCAAGCTTATCATTGAATCTAATGGTGATGGATTTCGGAATGAATTGTTCATTGAACATAATCGATGTTGCTCCGTGACACAATAACATTTAAAAATATATCGTTAATTTAAAAATTATGTTCATTTTTCTTACGTACATATTTTTAGTAGTTTTTTCCAAATGTTACCTGGATACATTATGATAATATCCATTTTTTTTGTTATTATTATTTCTTGACGTTGCGTGTTTATGCACACGCGGGACCAATTTGCTTGCGCGGGAAATACGCATGTTCGAATATGTTCTAGAACGCTAAACCGGTTAGACGCCATATTGAATTTGTGCTATACTATTTAATTTTAAATTTATTTAAGGTTATATTTGTGTGTTTGCAGTTGTAGGGGTAACAAATAATTAATAATTTATACAATTTGTATACTTTTCTTTTTACACCAATTTCGGTGGCAAACGTAATATGTACTTTAATATTGTTATATTGTACTTAATTATTCTGTAAGTACTTAAAGTTTTTTTCTTTTTCTATATATCTAAGTTTCAAATGGGTTACGTTATGTGCCATTCGGAGTTCTGAGATTATGGGTACAAATGTTTTTTTTTTAATATAAACTGTTTTAATTTATTTAGATCTATTGTAGAATTTCAAGGTGATTTGTAATAGAAATTTAAGTTAAATTGTCGAAGATTTTAAAAGTGACCCTGAAGTCCTATTTTCGTGGAGTTCTGTGTTTCTGATTTGATGGTTTATAGCTGGGATGATGGTGATTGCTTGAAGTTTTTTAATTATTTACAAACATCAAATAAATTATAAACTATACTTACCAAGAGCAATATTGCATGGTTTAACATTTGAAAACAAACCACAAGATTAGAACTAACGTCTCAAACTCATACGTTCCCGCCCCCTATTGTCTTACTGTGAACACTAACGATTAATAACAATATAAGGATAGACACATATACAGTGTTATTTGGTTCGGATGTGTGTTCACAGATTGCACAACGTTTTGGCCGAAATATAGTGTCCGATTGAAATAGAAAGGTAACCCAATATGGTTCCAATTTCTTATTGATTTTATAATGATGTATAAAGATTCTTACGCCCGAATACTGAAAGGTTACTCAATTCTAAGTTGTTCTTAAATATCGTGCCATATCTGTCATTTTACAATGAATTTGTAGTGACAGAACTATACTTCATCATCAACAGCCTATAAATGCCCACTGCTGAGCAAAGCCTTTTATCACGCGGAGACGGTTTGAGAATTAATCACCACGCTTGCTCAATGCGGGTTGGCGATCACGAACTTATAATTAGAAATTATAAGCTCAGGTTTCCTCACGATGTTTTCCTTCACCTTTTATCAGTGGGGTCTAAATAATCTTAGAAAGTACATATAACTCGGAAAAAGTCACATTGGTACTTGCCGTTGAAAGATTTCGAATCCGCGCCCTCATGCATGAGAAGCGGGCGTCTTAAACCACGACATCTTCTTCTTCGAACTTATATACTTAGACTTGAGTGGCGTTTGAGTATATCAGCGTTAGTTTCAGAAATCTTCCTAGCTATTAACTATCAATAGTATATTTAAGTTTACTCCACACCGGAGAATGTCTTCCCATATATATGGCTTTATTTAATTCGTTTAAAGTATACATAATGTTATTTGTCAAGTGTTGTGTTATACGTCACTTGTTCACGCGAACTTTACTGAGCAGAATCGCTTTACAATAATATTTTGTTACAAATGAACCAACGTGGGTGACCAATAGGACAAGCAATCCATCTATTTGTAACAAATGATATTTAAAAAATAAATTTCATGTATAAATACTAATCGAGCATTAAATTTGGTATCCATAATGTATTGTAGTTGTGGAAAAACAGGACAATATTGTATGGTCATCAAGATTAAGCATAAGGTAAACGAGTAGACGGATCACCTGATGGAAAGTAATCGGCGTCGCTCATGGACACCTGGAACACCAGAGGCGTTACAAGTGCGTTACCGGCCATTTGGGGATTAGGAGTTTGAGGATCGTTGGGGATTCAGGGATTGGGGAGATTGAGGAAAGGGAGGGTAATTAGGCCTCCGGTAACCTCACTCACACGACGAAACACAACGCAAGCGTTGCTTCCCGTCGGTTTTCTGTGAGGCCGTGGTATCACGCCGGTCGAGCCAACCCATTCGTGCCGAAGCTCGAGCTAGATGGCTCTCCCACACTTACCAAATATCTGTCTTAATGAAGGGAGAATTTCCAATTACTGGATTTGACCCAAACAAAAAAACGAGGCAAGTTTAACAACACCGTTTAAAAAGAGTGATGGCAAGGTACAAAACTAAAGCCAGATAAATTTTAAATGAGAACTAACTTTGAATATTTGTCAATTTGTCCATACCTTCAAGAAAAGAGTGTATTCCGTTTTAAAGAGCCGGCAACGGACCAGTGACTCCTCTGGTATTGCAGGTCCATGTGCGGCGCTGAGCGCTAACCGTGTGATCCGTCTGCTCGTTTGCCCCCTATTCCATAAAAAAAATACTTAAATCTGTCAAATGTCAATTTTATTCTACAGTTAAAAATTAATTGATGAGTGAAAAATGGGCCTTTAGTTGGTCCAGTTATTTGCAAAATAGCAAGAGTCTCTTCTTCAAAATTGTTTACCATTTTGCAAATAATAATTGGTTCCTTACTATGTTATAACTTCGTATAAAATGTGCAAATAGTGACGTCATCCACTATTTATCATCATGTTTTTTATTTTGACAAAAGATACTTGAGTGTTCTGTATAAAAAAAATCATATTTATTTATTGGTCATCCTGATGTGGTCATCTCTATTTTGTAAAATTATGTGAGTATGTAAAGTTCGCCCTACGGTTTATAAGAGATCTGTCGTTTATTGTTCGTTCTTATTTCGGGATTAGGCTGTGAATCTGTATGTGAATCAAGTGATTTATTAATAAATTATTATGTTGCTTTTATTGTTATTTCATTTCCTACTTTTTTAATAGATTTTAAATTTTTATCATCAGTATGACATCAGCTCATATCCTTCCATTGCTGAACATAGTCTTCATAAGTAGTGTGCCACTGAGCTCGATCTTCAGATATTCTTATCCAACTAGTACACGTATCTACAGTGGAGTATGGTGCCTATGGTAAAGTGCCATAGGCAACGTTTGTCTACACGGTCTCTCTGGAACATTATATTCATCAGTTAGCGGACAAATGTGACAGACTCACTACCACTGGAGTCTGCTATTCCTTGACTTGATTTTTAATAGATTAGTGGACAGGTTCGGTGTTGATTTGCTGGTCAAACAGCGCGTGCTTACCGGTTGTCGCTGTTCTGCTTCCACAGAAATCTATATATATATAAATGAAACCCGTTTTTCGTTGTCACGCCATAACTTGGGAACGGCTAGACCGATTTGACTTATTTTTTTTTGTTGTGTTTGTTATTGTCAGGAGAAGCTTTTTATGACACAAAATATTCCTGAAAATCCTACGGGAACGCGAGAAAACGGGTTTCGAACGGGATACGAAGTCGCCGGCAGAAGCTAGTCTTATACTATTAAAGCGGAAGAGTTTGTTTTTTTGTTTGTTGGTTTGAACGCGCTAATCTCCGTAACTACAAGTCTGATTTGAATAATTCTTTTTGTGTTGGATAGCGCATTTATCGAGGATGGCTATAGCCAGCCTATAGGTTGTAAAACATCACGCTACGACCAATAGGAGCTGAGCAGAGCGTGTGAAACCACGCGGAAGTAGCTAGTATTTTATAAAATTAAAGACAGTTGTTATATCTATGTTCACACCACACTCCTCGAACCTCTCGCTAGACGAGCCGCAACTTTCAAATACTTATTTTATACCGGTCCCTGGATTGGACAATTCATCACCCTTTCCTAGAGTCGAACTGGTTGAATAGAGATTTGCTGCGGAACGTGTCCAAGTATTCGTTGAAGCTTCGAAGCATAACCTTCTATGCCACCACCTATTTTCTTTAGCTGTTTGAGCAAAAAGTATTATTATAATAAATTATTTTTTTGATGAATTTATTTGGTTATTAATGACAGTTGTAGTCATTGTTTGACACAAACACTATGCTTTTTGTTTTGACGTATTGTCTGATGGAAAGCAAACAAAAATATTGAAACAGTTCTCTCCAAATTAGTAATTAGATTTTCGGAGTTATTAGAGTTTAATTTTTGAATAGTGTTTAGCTAAAATGTCTTTCTTAGCGCTTGACAAATGGGCACGATTGTTCCGAATGATTCGACAGGCTGGAGGACCGTTTAAAGCCTTCTATAAACTGTGGAGGTTCGACACTCTGAAAGTAAGTAATCTTACATCATTTTCTTTATAATGTTACATATTAATTCTCCACGGACTCTGGGCCGTGCCCGTGTCATACATGTTTTTATTACAATATGTCTATTCAATTTTTATAAAGGAAAGTAGGTATTTAGTTACACACTACGATTAACCACATGTATAATTATTACTAAAAGTATAAATTACATACTAATTAGCTGTTATTTATTACGACTCTACGAAATCATTCCACCAACAATATTGGTGAGCTGACCTGACCCAGCAGAAAGCACCCGTTCACGAGTATGACGTGTGAGTCAGCAATTGATCCGGTCAACCTTTTTATTGGGAACGGAACAACCCAACACACAGCGTCACCGACTGTAGGACATTTATGTATGCATGACGCCTCAACCCTAGCCACGTTGGCTGATTCCAATAAAGCTTACAATAGTACAAAAGTCAATGGGTCATTTTCTATATCTACATTCATACATCTTACAAATATTTTAAAACGTGAATGTTTGTTACTCAAAAAATACGGGCGAGTCGCGGGTAGAAGCCAGTTCTTCATAATATCTATGTTATACTGATGAACCAAGTTATAGTTCTCAGTCATTGAAATAGACTATTCCATAACACCTTTAGCACCATGAACGGGGATGACCTCATCATGGTTATTCTAGTCAGCTTGTAAATGCCTTACTGCTGATTCTGAGTGAAGGGTGCTTCACGTCATTCCATCTCAGAAGGAATGGACATTGATCTTGTGATTAATTGCTTGAATTAGACATTTTAAAAGTTATTTCTTACTTATTCATACTTTTAAATTATCTAAAAGTTCCGAATTAAGCGCAGCTTTCCTTCATCTGTTTATTAGTCGTGTACATAAGTGGATGAATCATTTGATGATGAACGTGATCAACGCCGTCCACGGAAGCATGAGCAATAATGCGGTCCACAAGTGCTTTGCTAGCCTATTTTGGGGAGGGGTGATTTGATTGGGGACTCCTACTTGCTAACTGTACCGACATATATCTTTAAAGGCCAACTTTTCCAACACCAGGGGGCTTACTCTTGTATCCAATTCCGATTGATCGACATTGATATTGTGAAATTTCGTACTCTTGAGTTGCAACACTGGCGCCTATTGCATCCGGATTGCGTGAATATTTAATGAACTAAATGGTATTGGGTTTGGCTTTATGTTCCGTATTCTGAATGCTATTTTAACAGTTATGATAGTGGTAGTATAGTTTAGACATTGAATACTTGTTGAGTTTTTATTGGATTGAAATTGCATTGATTTCAAGAGTAAGCGCCCTGATAAATTTTAACTTATGAATAACTTGAATATTTGACAATTCTTCCATACTAAGAACTGTCAAATTATAATTAAGTTAATCTACAGTTAAGGATTAACAGATGATTGAATAATCGGTCCTAAATATTAATTATTTATGTCTCTCTGCTTTAGGAAGGCAAATACGTCGGTTGTGATTGCAATGGTAACAAATATTACACGAACTGTAACTACATGATTGGACGAAGTCGCTGGGTTGAGTTGAACAATAATTACAAATGGGATTACGACGCGACACATGTAAGATGAACACTTTCAGTCAAAGCTTACCTTTACCTATGTACCTACATGCAATAAAATTTGTATGAAGTACCTATATGCAAGTAGTAGCTACTACTCTTCCCAATATTTAGTATTAAATGTAGAGACCCGATTTTTACTAGTTATGATCCCCATGTATCTAGAGAGCAAAGCAAGTATCATAGTATCAAGTATCTATGTGCCTACATTGGGTACCTATAATTCGGTACCTTTATTTTTTAACGCATCGAGCACAATCGTACATAACGTGGACTTAATGCCGTGAGCATTATCTTCCAGTCTGACCTTAGCGGTTTTTCCCGCAAAGATCCAGGAACTTTTTGCACACATTGGTGACCTGTGCATGCACTTCAAACTGTTATCCATATGCAGGCCCAGGTTTTTCCACTTCACTAGGTACTTAACGGGATTGCTGCACCGTCGAAGACCACATCTGGCAAAAATGCGGTGTCAACCCTATTAAGCGTGCAGAACTCCCGCACCTATATGGAATGGCCTGACATCTATGATGGCGAACCTATTAGATAATTCTTAATAGCAGCAAGATCGAATCAGACACCCTATCAACATCAGCTTGACGATATGGCTGCATGTCTACAGCGTATAGGTGCAAATGGTACGCACATTGAAGTTAAGTAGTTATAAGATTAATAAAGATAGAAAATAGAAGAGGAAATAGCATGCCGCCTTGAGGAACGTCATTATCATCAACAGCCTATAAGTGCCCACTGCTGACACTAAAAAGGTTTAATCATTAATCACCACGCTTACTCAATGGGGGTTGGCGATTACAAACTTAGAAATTATAAACCCAGGTTTCCTCACGATGTTTTCCTTCACCGTTTGTCAGTGGTGTCTAGAGAATATTAGAAAGTACATGTAACTCGGAAAAGTCACATTGGTACTTGGTAGGTTTCCAACCCGCACCCTCATGGATGAGAAGAGGGCGTCTTAAACCTACGTGCTACCACGACATTCTTTGAGGAATGCCAGCCGTTAATTCATGCCAATTAGTTGAACTATCATCAAGCTTGACCGACTATTGACGCTCCTGAAGATAAGATGAGAAAGAAATCTTTAGAAAGTCAACATCAACAGTCCACTCCTGGACGGGCTTCTACTTAAGAAGGTTTGCCATAATCTCTACGCTTAGCAGGCGATTTTGAGATTGCAGATTGAAAGATTCAGGTTTATTAGTGAGCTGCTGCACACTTTCTGTACGCTTTGCTCTAACGGCACAGAACAGTCTACCGTGGCTCTGAAGCCTATGTTATATGGTAACTAAATTGCGTGCCTGATTAATCATCCTATATTTCTTGGCACACGACGAAGGATGACTCCAAATCTCCTTCATATGAAAGTCATAATTTCCAGCTATGTTAAACACTGCCATCTAGGTTGCACATCGCTAAATTACTTGGTCCTGTGAAACCGCTGGATTCGCAAATTGTATATAAGCACCCGAGCGAGTACCTACTTCTATTATCGCCATCTAGGCACACAGGCTCGCCTATAGGGTAAGCGACGAGATTGTAGCAATTATTTGAAGATAGATGTCACTACAATCCCACAAAAGAGATGCTGATCTGAAGTAAGTAAACGAGGACAACTTAAAAAATAACTGCGACCCTTAGGTATAAGGAGGACAAATCCAAAAATAGCTGCGATAATTAATAGGATTTAGAAGAATTTTGATGGTTACCTATAGACCTCTCTGAAGCTCTTGAACCTGTATGTTAATGCACTGATAGAAGAGCTCAACAGCATGCAGGTTAATCATGTTGAAGGTGTGCATAAAAATATCAGTTCTGTGGGCGATATAGTGTTGCTGATCGAGCAGAATGCTGAGAAGCATTGTTTAGTTTACAACACGAAGAAAAGCGAGTGCATGATGTTCCGGGCCGAGAAAAGATGTCCAGAGCGATTAAGTTCCATTTCTTTATAGTGTAACAATTGAAGGTTAACCTCGCGATGCAAATAGGCTCCGGTAGTCTATTGATACAACACATTAAATTCCTACCTAAATGTGAAGATCATTTTCGAATGCCTATTATAGGTAAGTGTGGGTAGTTAAAATTCGTAACAAGAGTATTTTTTACTCTAAAGTGACAAAAAATACTGAAATTTTCACCACTCAAATGCCCGTTTTTACCAACCACTCCTAATCGAACTCAAAGTTACTTGTCGTGACGTAGCACCTAACCTAAATTGACTCCTAACTTGTACTATTAGGTACCTATTTCTCATAGGTTGGTAAAAACCAAAATGTCGGTAAGAGTAGGTAACTTATCTAACTTTGGCGTTCCTTAAAATGCAAGGGGGTTTGGTGGGTGTCATCACTGCGAGGACCGCCCTGAGGACACGGTGGAACACACGGTGGGAGAATGCCCTTCGTGGGCTGAGCACCGCCGTGTCCTCAGGGAAGTGATCGGCGATGGCGACCTCTCGCGTCCGGGCCTAGTGCAGGCCATGATGCGGAGCGAGGGGGATTGGGATGCCGTCTCCTCCTTTTGCGAAGCAGTCATGCTAGCTAAGGAGGAGGCGGGACGCGTGAGGCAGCGAAGCGCTGCCTCCTCGCAACCCAGCCATCGCGAAGGACACACCGGGCGTCGGGGATCGCGGGACGATCTCCGGCCACCGTAAGCGCGGGCCTGCGGACGGCGAGCATGGGTGGCTCCCCGTCCGACCAGAAACAGACCCGAGCGTACGGCGCGTCGCGTTCCGCGCGCGCCTCAAAGAGCCATCAGACCACCACAGATGGGGCCCAATAGGGCCGATGCCGATTCGGAGTCGCGGAGAACCTAACGGGTAACCGGGGCTCCGGCTCGACGTGCAGGAGAAGGAACGGGGTGGTTTTTAGTCAGTAAGAGTCTGACACTCCCTCCCGCCTCACCCAGGCGGGGGCAGTCATTCGATGATTTTCCCCCCTTAAAAAAAAAAAAAAAGGGGGTTTGGTGAAAACAAGATTTATATACCATTGTCCACAATCCACCTTCCAGAACATAAAAAGACTAACCTGTAAAAGTTTATATTTTTGAAGAATTGTACATTTAGGATCCTATTAAGTTGGTAGCAACTTTTGCAACTTACTTTTCTAACATGTTACATCAAATAGGTATGTAATAATAATTGCAACTTGAAGATTTATTTGTAGAAAAGACTTTTAATTATATCTGCGGATGTCGAGGCACGTGGAAGTAGGCGGTCACCTACGCAATGCAATGGTTCAGCAGCCTTGCAAACGTCACTCGAGCCACTACAAGATTTATTACTGGGAAATGTCTACAATATTCATTTTATTTTCGTTATGCGTATTTCGGTATACGTAATTTCGTTAAGTATGGGAGAGCCATGCTAAGTGTGGGAGAGCCATATAGGCTTCAACACGAATGGGCCGGCTTGACCGGAGTGATACCACGGCCTCACAGAAAACCGACGTGAAGTAACGCTTGCGTTGTGTTTCATCGTGTGAGTGAGGTTACCGGAGGCGCAATTACCCTCCCCTTCCCTAATCTCCCCAATCCCTGAATCCCCAGCGATCCTCAAGCTCCTAATCCCCAAAAGGCCGGTAACGCACTTGTAACGCCTCTGGTGTTCCAGCTGTCTATGGGCGACGCCGATTGCTTACCATCAGGTGATCCGTCTGCTCGTTTACCGGCTTATGCCATAAAAAAATGCATTATTAATATAATCGATGTTTAAATAAGAACTATCACGCTTGGTGGTAAGCAATGATTCCTGCAACGGAGGACGTCTGCCCATAAGCAACTTATTCACTCGGACTTTAGAGACACCCAGGTTGACACCAGGGAAACACAGACTCTGACAAAGAATTCCAGTCTTTAGTAGTTCGCAAAAGGAAGCTAGAAGCGAAGCGCTTTGTGCAAGTGGGTGGGATATCCACTATGAAGCAGTCTCGCTTCTCGACGATTGTATTGTGGTACGGTGATGGAAGGGAAACAAGTTGTGTGGGGGTAGCCGTGTAAATGAGTCGTCAATCAAAGGCTGGCAATGTACCTATAGTCCATGGGCGCTGCTCATCACTTATCATCAGATTATCCATTAACGCATTGGCTGCCGTGTCGGACAATGTTGTCCGACGCTAGCGGAGGATTAGCCTTTAACAGTTTTGTCGGCAGTTAAAGGCTTAAACTGCACTCTTCTAACCCGCCTACCGAACGTAGATGTTATGGCAAACCCGGGTTATGTAGGCACTTAGTTTATGTTTACTAACTTACTAATAATACTGATTTTAGATAACGTCCGAGTGGTATGGTTGGATGCACTACAAAACAGACAAACTGCCTTGTGAAGATAGTGCTAAGTACGAATTGAATTGCTCCAGTACGGCCCATGCCTGGCTGCAACCATTCGCTGAGAATTTGACCGCGACGGAGGAAGCATATTACCCTTACAATACTACCAGGGCTCGTATCAACGTGTGGGACGGTAATACTTTTCAATATAACTTCTTTTATTCCTCGGAGAGTTAGGCAGATTACGCCCATTTCTCGAAGTCATCTATCAAGGAAAATGAACTGGGATTGTTCAGGCTACTTACGTGTTGTAACTTGCATTGTTCTTGCTGTGGTGCTTGGCGACTGGGCTTCTCCCAGTTGTGCAATCTCTTTGTGCCTTCAAGGCTTAAGTCATTCTGTCTCCTGCATTAAATTCACCGAAGAAAATGGAAACTATTTCGTTTTTTCTTCTCTCTTGCTTTCCTTGGAATCTAACTTGAGATTAGTCTGCTTGTACTGGTCGTGTCGACCAACGACGTATTTTTTCAACTACCTCGTTAACTAAACACGAAAGAAAGTATAAAATCTTTTATACTTTCAATATTTTTCCGTAAAAATTTAAAATAATGTACAATGCCTACCTATAATAATGACAAGGTTTTTCCCAAGCAAATAATAAGATGCTCTTGTATTTTTCTAAGGATCGTTAGTTTTCTGCGAAGGATCTTGAAGCTCCATAATTATGATTGAAAGGTATTAGATACCGCAGAAACAAATGATTTACGGATTTTGTAGTTCTTCTTTTAATTTATTTATTCCCCAGCCCAACAGTCTCGACATAGAAATATCGACAACAAACTTCTTTAATAGATTTTTGACCTTAAGTTTTTGTAAAATGTATTAGATGACTGCCTCGTTGGCCGAGTGGTCGCAAGTGCGACTGCCGAGCGAGGGGTTCGATTCCCGCGTCGGTTTTCTCTGAGGCCGTGGTATTACTTCGGTCGAGCCGGCCTATTCGTGCCGAAGCATGGCTCTCCCACACTTTTGACCCTTACTGACCACATTAATAAATTTATCACTTCAGGCTCGACAGATCATTTTCGCAAGCACTATATTTTCCCATAATATCTTTCTTCCTCGGTGTGGATCGTGGATGGCGTCACAGACTACATATTCGAAATGGTTGTCACTAAAAGTAAAGATTTATTATTAGGTATACTTACTTATCCAAAGCTAAAATCAACTCCAAACTATTCAATAAAGTTATTCTGTCCTTTAAAAATCAAATAGGTAGGTACATAACTGTTTAAATTAACATTGCATATCCATTCAGTATTTTATTTAAAGATAACAATGAAATACCCGACTATCAATCAGAAAATGTATAGGATTTGATATCAAAATTGAATGACGCTTTTGTTACGTGTATTGGGTATTGAAATCCTCGATGAAAATTGGATTAATTGTTCGATATAAATGCTATCGGTAGAACAAAGAACATCAGTTACGGTTGAATCGCACTGTGCCATGGTGCAGTTTCCTGAAATTCTAGGAACAGAGAATACTTAACGAGTAACTGGTTTTGAATATAAAATAGTCCGATCTTTATTATTGTTTATCTTCTCTTCAATTATGTGGACATTCGGATTGTCTCCAGTATCATAGGCCTAGAAATACAAAATTCTACACACATCGTTGGCACTACAGGGAATATATTTAAGTGACGTGTCGCAACGTGTTTGCATATCGGTTTTAAGCATAGTTAGATTAGTTAGAGACATTCCTAGCTACTCACTTGTCTTGTAATATCATGTCTCAAATTCTTGTAGCCATTTGGACCGCAGCGGTGGCCACAACGCCACAATACGTAAATATGTTTCCACCTTTAGGCTCGGAATAACGATTGGTAAACCACAAAAAGCATTGTTGTTTTTTAATCTACCTCACGACACGCCGCGCGTCAGTTGGTTGCCAAGCTACGGCATCAGTTTGCTGAAAAGGCATTAATGTTCAATATTGCAACCCCATGTTGCGGGCGAATTAAGCGTTTCACGAGATTTCTCTCCAGTAAATGAATCGAAGAAGTTTTGTTTACATTTTTCGAGCTTAATTTGTTTTTTTAATGCTTTCAGTCAATTTCATTGTTTATCGGTAGGTAAGTAAAAGGAAATATTCTAAGGTTTATGCAGACGTGTTCTTAAAGGTTTTCAGAGTTCATTTTAATGTTTCAGAGCTGTTTGTTTCTTTTAAATAACACGTTGCCCCATACAAGGATTATCTCCTGCGTCGTGGGTGCGTTTACATACATACAAGTTCACATACATATGACCCCCAGACCCGAAACAACAATTTGTGGATCACACAAAGTGTTGTTGCGTGCGGGAATGGAACCCGCGACACGTTGCACGGCAGCCGGTTGCCCAGCCATCGTACCAACCGTGCAGTCTGTTATTAGTAGTTGATTTTGTTGCTAGTTTACTCTCAATCCTTGTTGTGTTTGTTTCTTTTTCTCTTCGTGTACTATGTTCACGATTTTCTTGATTTCCTCGTTAAATTCTAATCTGAAAGCAATGAATTGAAAGGAATGAAGGCAGAAATATTGGAATTATGTCGAATGTCCTACTACAAGCTTATCCATAACAATGAATAGATACAAGTGATACAACTGCAAAAGATTGAGAATCTTTTCATAAGGTCTAAAACAAAATCAATGAGACCAGCCAGTTTGTGGAAAATAGTTCACACACATTTCGTTAGGGGGATCCTCGGTGCTTTAAATGAAGAGGGGCCACGCGAACACTTGAAACTTTTGAATTCGCCGACTTTTTAGAGTCAAATTTTAATGGTTGCATTGAAGAGTCTTACGACTAGTGTAATAGTTGCGCAGGACTTTTTTCTCATGCATATCACAAACATAGAGATGCTCCAATGCATCTAAATGAGGATTTAATTGCCCTATATTCGGGATTTCGAAAATTAAATCATATTAATTATACTACTAATAGGTAGGTATACCCGCTAATGATAGCCACTTCTTTAAGTCTTAAAAATTAAATTCTCATCTGCATTTAACTGCAATGTGATTCTGTAACAAATAATTAGTAGAAACTATCGAAGCGAAGTGAGACTCGAGACTACGGAACCGAGTACAAGTGTGTTTACTTTCGAAATAGTTCTTTCGAGCTTCGATATCGTATCAGTGTTACAGAATCCCACTGCCGATCGTACTTCGACTTTATAAGTAATGCCGCTATTTTAATCATTATAGAAAACAAGGGGTTCTACCACGCTCCACATGTTCTATGATCCGTTGTGCCAACTTGCCCCGTGTGAAGAGAGCTTAGGTGCACCACCCATAAGGAGCGATAGTGTTCCTAAAAAATCACAGATGGCGCTGTACGACCTTTTAAAATCCAAGCGTGTTTAAATATTTCCTCTATTGTGTTTTATATTATAAAGTGAAGATATTTAAAAAGTATAGAATTTAAAAGTAAATAAATAATGTTATAATACGTTTTTTGTTTTGTTTCAGGATGTTCATTAGGCAATCGTGAGAGCTAATTTTTCTAGTAGGTACCTTATAATCTAGTTTCCTTTGATTTCCGTAATAGATTATGTTGTATACATTTCAGTTAAATACTAAAGTTTTTATATTGTTGTTAATAATTAGATTTTTTTTTCTGTAATTAAAATCATGGAGTGGAATATTGAACTATGTTGTTTGTTTTTAAAATGTAGGTAAGAACTTGCCCACGAACCTATCTGAAGAAACAAAAAGTGCATGTTTATTTGACTGAATATTTGCGTACGGAGGTTTGTAAAAAAAAGTCGAACCTAGACTTTCTACTCTAAGGCACAAATTCTGCTGTGACCTATTACCTAGATTAGTACTAAGTGAGCAGGTACGGTTTAGCAGAACTTTTAATAAATTAATTGCGGTGAGTAGCTTTTGTGGCTCATGGGCCAGTTAAATTATGTTTTCATATTCTGAACAATGAATCTCATTCTGTTGATAGCTCAACTTCTGAGCAATTAAAACGCACGGATTTTACTCCATCGTAAATGTGTAGTATAAAACAGTGGTCCAATTAATTTATCTACAGTACAGCCTTTCATTCTTCCCGCCACGCATTTACTATAACAATATCATATGAATTAAAGAAAAAAAGTGATCACCGTAAAACTATCCAAACAATATGATAATTTTATTACAACTGCGTACTCGTAGCTATAAAGTTTTTCGGTACAAATGACCGAGTGAAAAAATTGCAGGCATTTATTGCGCCGAAATGCTTTAAACGGCGGAAAAAAATTCGTAAACAGATTTAAAAAAAAAGTTAATCTTAGTGGGGGAGGGGCGTTGACTTGGGCGGGTCGTCCCTCCTTCTCTGGTGGGGCAAACTGCTTGAGTTAGTTGCGCATCGGCAGCGACATAGATCGCACGCATGTATCGCGAGTGAGTGCTGCAGTGTTGTGGGGCAAAGGCCCATACATTCGAAAATAGCAAACGAAAAAATTGAACCCCAGATGGGAGTATACGAGGAGAGGGGGACGATGCACTGGGTACGGCACTCTCATAATAATTTTTTTTTCTAAAATTTGTTTATGTCATCAAAGTTTTTTTACTATTCTCAAACTTTTATACGTTATTTTTTTTTACTTGGAGCACCATCATAAAGTTTTTTTTTCATAATTACATGTAGTGCACCACTTTTGTATTAGTTTGCATTCTATTTTTTTTTCTTTAATTATTATGTACCTACGTAGTTTTTATTTTAATTTACATGCACCGAGGTCTATAAAAAATGTACGAAGTCTCATAAAAATACGAAGAGTTATTCAATTTCGTTCCCGCGTATAATTATTTTTTACAAGAAAAAAGGAAACTTAATATTTTAATTGAATGAACAATTTATTACGTGAAGTAATTGAAAAGAGATATGCAAACTTATATAAAAACCTTGTATATAAACATATCTACATGTATGTAGGTACAGATATCTTATACATAGGATACTTCTTATTGTGTAATAAGGAGTAGAAGTTATCTTAACTCGATAGTTATAAAGTTTCGGGACCCTTTACCAAGTTATAATAGCCTCGGACACATATTTATCGCATAAATGGAAGTTTAAATATACGATTTCAAAATAATTCAAGAAGTAAATTGTAAAAAATAAAAAGCTGTTAGTAACAAATAATAAGCTGTAATCAGACAAATATTAATAAAATATGAAGCATTTAAAATTATTAAAGACATCAAAGTATTTAATTTTTTTTTCCTTTAAACACAAGGCACTACATAGGATAAAAAGCATATTTTATACTTATTTTATGTGTGCATTAAAAATAATATACAATTTAATGACTTTTAAGCACACATGCGCACGCGCACGTCCGTATAAAATGCTTTTATACACGCTTTAAGCATTGCAATTGCAATATACAAGCTGTATTATGACGAGAACTTGCTTGTATTATTTAAAATTAATTATTTTTTGCATTTTTACACTATCATAGAACATTATATTTTACAATTATTTGTTTAAATCGTAGATAAGCTTCCAATATTTTGCTTCATACTATTAGTAATAATAATATTTTATTTACTATTAAACTAAAATATCAATTTTATTTTTCTTAGTTGGTGGAATTTTTTTTTAGTTGGTGAAGTTTGGGGAGAAGTTATCTATGCGCGTGCGCATCTTTTGTACATCTAACTAAAAATAATAATAAAAGAGTTTGCAATAACAGATATAATTATAATAAGGTTATAAGAGTATACTCCAACGAAAAAAAAGTTTGAAATGGAATTAAAAATTAATTTATTATTGCATTTAATCAAGTAGTTTAACTTAAAACTTAAATATATTCCTATATATATATAAGGATATTTATATTATTAAATAAATGGTATAGGAAAATGCATCCCGCATTATGAAATATCTCTATAAAATATTTCAATATCATTAAAAACTATTTATTAACTTATTGGAAATAAATGATAACGAAATGTTTATTAATTTAAAATACGTACCTACATTTATTGGAATACTTCTCAATAAATGAGGCTAACATTACTGCAGGTAAAATTTATCTACAGATGAAAAAAAATATTTACAGGTATATAAATATTGACTGTATTAGGTATATGCAATGAGAAAAATACAAAATTAAAATTCTTTTTATACAATACAATAATTATATTTTATAAAAAAAGGTATAATAATGTTAGATCAAAATATATAACGGGCAGCGCTGGCGCAAGGCAAGGCAACTAGCGCCGCCCGTCTTTGATGACTAGTTTACACCCTTAGTAGATTATATTCTAGAAATATAATTTCCATCTAGAAGTCCTATTTATTATCTGTCCCGTAATACTTATTTATGGTAATTGAAATTAGTATAAAGTAATATAATAAAAGAGGCAAGTCTATAGTCTCCTTCTTCTCTATTTGTCTCCCACGTTATTTACACCTAGGTATGTCTTCTTTTATTTTAAACATGCTGGCCCGGCAACTTGGTACCGCCTAAAAATATTTCTCGCCTTTTAAACCTTCCCTGGACTTCCAGGAACATTTAAAGACCAACAATTGCCAAATCGGTTCAGCCGTTCTTGAGTTTTAACGGGACTAACGAACGAAAATTATTTTTTTATTTATAAAGATACATACATACATAACATCACGCCTTTTATCCCCGAAGGGGTAGATATAGGGCACATTTTGCCACTGTACAATGTAACACCCACTTTTCACTATATATGTTATGAGTCCCATGTAATAGGGAGTGACCCTATTGCCATATACCGGGCAACTACTAAGATTTTTTAAAAAAACCCAGTAATACTTTGCCCAACCTGAGAATCGAACCCGAGACTCCTTACACAGCAGTCGCTCTTACTACCACTCAGCCTACAAGGCAACCTATTTATAAAGATTTATAATTATTTATAAAACATATTTAAATTATTTTTCCATTTCCACCATAAAGGCGTCATACTATCATACAATTCCTTTTCTCTTTAATACATCAATCCTATCATACCTCCAAGCTCAAATCTAAAGGAATATTTAGCAGGCACTAACAAAAAGAACCTTGAAATATAATTTTGTATAGGCCGACATTTTACAAGCAACATAGTAACAAAGATGATACATGTAGATGTAGCTGTACTTCTATTGTGCCTAGCCTAAACACGGCTAGGGTCGGAGGTTAGGTTATCTAGCTCATCGTTTTGTCAGTCATAATACCCATAGTACAAAATACTGATCGACATTAATAGATACCGGCTTTGCGTACCAAATATTTTCTATACTAGGCTTACATATTTTGTAGCCGTGTTTGGATTATTAAAAATAGGTTATAAAGAAGAAGTACTTGTTTGTTTGTGTTAGGTTCATAAAGAAGAGAAGGCAGATTATTCTATTTAATTCTTTCGCAGTTTCGTACTTTATGATTTGGTCTTTTAAATCCTAATGTCTAACTCGGCCAAGCGTGGCGATTATGACAAAACCCATGGTTTGGGTACGAAAGAGGCCTGTAGGCTAACAATGGACTGTTTAAAGTTTTTAATCACAATACGATACATAAACTTTTGAATCATATTTCACTACATATCAATTATTCAGTTTAATTCTGTTTCAGTTTCACAACCACAAATAAATATTGATTAATACTTAAGTAAATGAAGAGAGGCATACAAATAGCCATGAGCCCTATAAACGCCTGGATCGTCACCCACTTAGAAAGAGTGCCTCTATAAGAAATAGTAATACTGTATAGGGCTATATTTAATAGATAATTAAATATTAAGTTAATAGCTTTAATCCCTCGAGCGTCCTTATGAGCACCCGGTTACGGCACATTTTAGCGTACAAAAGGAATATTGAGCAGTTCAAATTAATCTTATAGGTTTTTATTTATTTATATTTGAACACATAATGCACCACACAGGATAACACTAATAACATTGAAGTAATGCATATTCCTGTTGGAATATTTCTCTGCAAATCTGTTACAGGAAAAATATTTTGTACTATAGTAACAAAATAAAAATACCAAAAAACTATAACTTCGATCATAAGATATCTATCTTTTTTAAACGTAGAAAGTGGTAGTAAAATTTGTCTAGCCGTTGATTTTTTTAGTCCTACAAAGACGTTTTAAATAATACAGAGAATCGATCGACTGTAGCACACAACCCAGTAAGACTAAATATATAGTTGACATTTGACACCTTTTCTATTCACCGTTCTGAATAGCTATTTTATGAGTTTAACAGATATTGTCTATAATATCAACAGGCCAGTTCAAGTACAATTTCGCCAGTCCGAGGCAAACATCGTACAAGTTATACTACTTTTCATATTATATTAGATATCTATAATATCAAAGATCTCGGAAACGGCAGCAACGATTTTCTTGAAATTTGGTATTAAATTTTGAATGCAATAACTGCAATCGCACCGCTCGTTTGGTTTGCAACCATTTGGTTATGTCTGCAATAGCACTGCAATCGGACTGCATGTTTGTTTTGCAGTTCAATTGCAGTGATACGACTGCAATTGAACTGCAATGTGCGGTTGGATTGCAGTTGTAATGCGGTCCGTCTGTCTTAGAACCTTCGGGGGTTTTGGGGGGCGATATCTTGAACTAGCTAGGTTTTATTTCTATAAAATCTCGCGGCAAGCTAACCTCGGTTATCCAGGTACCGTACTTATTACATTCAAGTTATAATCCTCATATCGCTTCGTTGGGAAAGGCTTATTGTTATGTTTATACCATTCTAGACTCTATACCATATAATTATGATGTATACTAAGATTAAGTATATTTTCCTCATTGGGGGAAGCCCATGTTCAGCAGTGGACGTCTTTGGCCGATATGGAGATAAAAATAACATAACATCACGCCTTTTTATCCCCGAAGTGGTAGGCAGAGGTGCACATTTCGGCATTTAATGCCACTGTACAATGTAACACCCACTTTTCACTATGTTATAAGTCCCATATAATAGGGGGTGAGCCTATTGCCACATTCCGGGCACATTTCCAGACTCCGTGCTTACTACTGAGATTTTTAAAAAAACCCAGTAATACTTTGCCCGACCCGGGAATCGAACCCGAGACCCCTTGCCTGGCAGTCGCACTTGCGACCACTCGGCCAACGGGGCGATATGGAGATGATTCTCGACTTCAAGATTGAATCCTGGCTTTCGTAGAACACGGCACTGCTTACTTGCACAACTCGACCTCTATATTATTTTGTGGTAAATGAAACGTCGGTAGAAGTTTATTTATTGAACTCAAATACATTTAAAAGTATTTACCTACATAATTTTATGAAATAACATAACAATAGCAATCAGAAAACACAGGCGGCCATTATAAAGGCTATGTATTACAGATTACTTTACGAAGCAAGTATTAAAAAGGCCTATCTGATTAATAATAAAGTCTAGAATTGCGATCTTAAACGAAAGATGATAAGCACTAATATTTTATGGAGAGAACTTAGGCACTAGGATGTTGCTCACGATATATACTCCATGATACAATTTT